TGCATCAGGGTAGGTCCATGCGGCTTCTCCTCAGGGATGTCTTGCAGGAAGTGAGCCTCGCCAGCTGAAGCAGGGAACTGGCTAAGGCAGCTGCACCCTAGTCCAACCATCACAAAGCAAGAGACGCGAGAACTCAAAAGGCAAGGCTGACCAAGCCATTTATTCCTCCGCCCTTCAATTAACCCCACATGTGTTTATCGGCCAGGTTGGCACAATAAACTAACTACCTCAGGAGAGAAAGGTGGCTTCAAACTGCTGACCTTGGGATCGCAGCCCACAATGCCACCAGGGCACCGAGATGGAAACCTAGAGCTTTAAAACTACATGCTGGCATTGTCTTCGTACTTTACCTCTTCCTTGTCCCAGGGGCTATAGGAGGAAGTGCTGTGGAGCAGGTATTTGTGTATTGCAGTCTCTCTCATAAAAACGGCCACATCCCTAGGCTCCCCTCGGCTTCAAGCTTGATTTTGACCCCTCTCCCCAAGCTCGTTTGAAAGTGCTTTAATGAGTGGCATCATTTTTCCGAGGCTTCTGGCCCCCGGAGTCAGGCTCTCTTCCCTCTTTTCAGCCACCCACTTTGCCTAGGCCGGTTCTCTCACTCACCACGAATCCACACCAACTGCCTTGTGCTGGGGCATCTCCCAGGGCCTCAGCAGACTGTCACGGACTGACTGGGTGGCTACTTGCCGAGGCTCTAGACAAGGGACATAAAGTGACCCTGGAGGCGCTGCCCAAAGATGTCCTGCTGTCCAAGGAAGCTACGGGAGCTGTCCTCTATTTCGTCGGAGCCCTGACCGGTAAGCAGGGAATCGTGTCTTCATTTACAGCCCTTTTCAAGGGTCCCGAGTGAAGGAGCGAATGCCCACCAGCCCAACAAAGGATCGTTCGGTGTCGTTTGTACACACAGTCTCAAAACTTGGCTTCACGCCAAAGAGTTCCCTCGGCCACCTCGCCAACCACATCCTGAGAGGAGATGAATCCTTCCGGCAAGGAAGGCGGATTGGGGAGTTGGGGAGGCCTCTGTGGGACAGGTGCCTTAGTAGAGGGCATGAGCTTAAGACTATGAGAAGGAAGGAGGGGTTCTAACGGCCCCCCTACTCTCGCCTCTCTCTCTCTCTCCTTACAGATATCCCACACATCTGCAATGATAACATGCAAACCTTCCCTCTCGGAGGTGAGTGGAATGACTTACTAGCCCCCGGCCCTGCCCTCCCCCTCAACCACCCATCCTCTAACTCTGTGTACTAGTATCCTCCGAGAGGGCCCTGATGGCACCGTGCTTATGTGTTGGGCTGCTACCAGCAGCTCTGCGCTTGAAAGACAGGGTTCTCGGCTCCTGTAAAGAGTCTGAGTGAGCTTCTACCCAGGGGGTGTCACCACCAGCAACAGGAAGGCAGAGGCTCGAGGTGGACCTGGGAAGAAAGATGCCCATTCCCTTTGGACGGGTTACAGGTGGGGTGCCCCTGGGACACCCGCTGAGAAGCTTCCGCGGGTAGTTGGAAACAAGGGCCTGGTGCCCAGGAGAGAAGTCAAGGTCCGCAGTGCAAAGATTAAAACAGAGAAAACTGTTTTTAAAAGAAAAAGAAACCCAATGGACCCCTGGCTACCATGGGGGAGGAGAGGGAGTTGTTGGTGAGGGGCGTTGAGTTTAGTCCAGGGTGGTGGCGGAAGTTGGGAAAGGATATCAGTCGTGGTGGCACGCACAGCGTGAAGCCTG